TTCTTGGCTATCACGGTAGCTGTTTCCTGCTTGGTGGGGCAAGCCCCAACCCATCCAGAGATAGTATCTACAAATACTAGAGGGTATTTGTAACTATATTTTCTTGGCTTAACTTCTGTAAAATCGGCCTCTCAATATACTCTAGGCTGTTCTCTACTTTTGCCCTGTTTACTTTTGGCTGTATAAGCATTTACTTGCTGGCATATCTTACACTGTTTTACTATCTATCTGGCCCAAAACCTGAGGTCCATTATATATACCTTAGATTCCTTGACTACTTAGATGCGCTTATTTATCAAATGAATCCATCTGTGCATTTGGTCTAGTAAGTCTTTTGCTTACTTTCTGGAGAATATAGTTCTCCCTTCTTGCATGCACCATTGCCCTTTCTTCTCTAGGTCATAGTTGGTAAGGTGGATAGCAATCTGAGTCCTTTTTTCTTCTGTGTGTTTTAAGTGAGGCCATCCCTTAATCTACATTTACCAGCAGGTGTCTCTTGCAGGCCCATAACCAGGATAGGCTCCTGCATAGCCACTTCTCAAGCCACTTGATCTGCCTGGTTATTGCCTCAGGCCACTGAGTCTCTTCCCTTCTGGTGTCCTGGGCAATGAATAATACTCACAGTTGTTGACTTCATCAGAGCATCTAAGAGATCCAAGATTTTCTCTGATGCAAGCTCTCGGTATATAGCCCCATGGATGTGGGCTGTGGAAAAGGTGTGCCACGTGCAATCGTCTCGCCAGCAAGAACACACACGGATACCAGGATCCTTCCGCAGCAAACGTTTATTGTTAATGAAAGGAGGAAGACCCCGGGCCCCGAAAAGGCACTGTTTATATACCCTTGGAGCGGCGTGATCATTTCTGATTGGCTGATTACTCGTTACCCGCCAAAACGCCCCGGGATGGGCTGTGACTTGGCGCGCACTCACTTCCCGCACATGCGCAACAGCTTGTTTATCCGGATGGGCAGCGGATGTCAGCACCATCTTGTAATGGCGATTGGTCTCGCCGCCGGCACTACAGCGGTAGCGGCTTCCTACAGAAAAGGCATACCTGTTATTTGTGTAGATCCCCGGGAAAGGGTATAGATTCAGCCCAGATGACATTTGTGCCATCCACCATAGCAGCACCAGCTTGTTTCTGACCAGCATGGAGAAAACTGGTCCCATCTGTAAAGCAGATTGCTTCGGCTCCCTGCAGGGGTTGGTAGGAGTGGTCTTTCCCCCACCCATGGGTTCTACTTTTGAGCCAGTTAGTTGCGGCCCATCGGACAGAAAGTATATCTGGGCCCCCATCTTGGAGAGTAAGTCTATAAAGGCCATAGTGTGTACTGAAAGAGTGCCTCCATGAGCCCTGTGGGCGACTCATCCAATCCCTGCCCCCTTGAGTCCTGCCAACGGAGTCTGGCAGTAGGCTGTTAGGTGCCCCTTACCACAGTCTGGTCAATCGATGGTGCCCCCATGTCTGAGGGAACATTCCTTCCAGCTTCCTACATTATCTTTTCTCTCTCTTTGGTCCTGAAGAACACTAAAACAGTCTCAAAAAGATTAATCAGCCCCTTGGGGTTATCTGAAAAGGGGGAAGGGTAAATAGGAAGACCACACCAAAGGTTGATAAACCTCTGATGTCTATGTCTGAACTGGATCCAGCTGGAAGTCCAGGACATCTGGAGTTTAAGCAGGTCAGTTCAGCTTACCTTACAAGATTTATTCACCAAGGCTATATATTCTGTAATATACAAATCTCAAAAGAAATCAGCATGTCTTTGATCCAGTAACCAGAAAACCCTTTATATTGACCTTTTTTCCCAGAGGAAAAGTATAACAACAAAACAGAAAATTATATACATTTTGAAAATTATGAGGCGTATTAAAGCAATATATCTCATATCATCTTTATACAACTGATTTATACTTTTATCTATTCAGCTCTCTACCTAGAGCAGCCTTTAGTTGTACACTGCACTCTCTACTCTGGAGTGATAATCTCTTCTATCTTAGTTCCAAACTGAAAGACTCCCGAAGAGAGACTCTCACTCAAGTCTCTGGATGGCGCACACCCAAAGACATACGTACAACCATCTTGCTGTAATCACAGGAGGCAGTTTACTGACAGAGCTCCAGGTCGACATATATCTCACGCAGGAGACAGAGGAGTTGACCCTGAGGCCCAGAAGCTTGGGGTTTATATAGGCAAGGATTGGGGAGAGCGGGAAGTCTTGGTGCACTTACACACGATTGGCTGTTTCATATATTTGAACATCAGCAGATTATGCAAGCAGCTCCAGGGAAAGATCTCATGGGAACAACCCTGGGTTCCTGTTTTCTCAGAACCCAGGGGCCTATGCTTATCTGAGTCAACAAACCATCTGATTAATTTTAGACCACAAGTCTCTGAAACATTTGGTGGGCCCCAAGGGGGGGGGTGTTCAGAGGAGGTTAAGTCAAACATCACAGGAACAGATGGGTAACTCATCATTTACTTGTTCTCAGGGATTTGTCTTTGTGTATCTTTTTTATCTTTTACAGTCAGCCAACACTCAATTGACCTTTGTTTCTCCAGCTCTGCATTCTTTGTGATGGCCTTGGGCTAGCGAATCTTCGATCTTTACTTGTGTTTATGAATCAAGGCTTTCTGTTATATTGTTTTTAAGAAAATTTCCTACATGATTCAGACAAATCTGTTTATAAATTCTTCCTAAAGGCAAATAATCTCTATATTATAAATTCACAGTTAAATCAGTATTTGCCCTGAAAACGGAGGCCTATTCTTTTGCCTCTCTGACTCAGAGCAGCTTGTAACTTCTCACAGTAGAACTGCAAGCAGTTTCTTTGTTTCAGAGTTCCCGCGCTGGAGTCACATGACTCATCCCAGTGTTGCTCACTACTCCATTACTGCTGCCTGCATCCTCACGCTGCCAGGGCTCGCAGAAGTCACCCTTCTCCTCCAACAGGTTCTTAACCACCTGGGCCCATCCCGATCACTGTTTCTCTCCCAGTTACCCCCTTTCATCCTTCCTTCCACAATCCCTCCTCTCATTCCCCGCCTCTTCTCCTCTGAGAGTAGAGCCCACCCCCACCCTCAGGTATCCCCTAACCCTGGTGCATCAAAGTCTCTGCAAGGCTAGGCACTTCTACTGCCACTAAGGCCAGACAAGATAGCCGAGGAAGGGGAACAGATTCTACAGACAGGGAACAGCTTTAGGGATAACCCCTACTCCAACTGTTCCGGACACGCATGAAGACCGAGCTGCACATCTGCTACAGATGAACAGGGAGGCCTAGGTCCAGCCCGTGTATACTCTTTGGTTGGTGGCTCAGTTTCTGAGAGCCCCCAAGGGTCCAGGTTAGTTAACTCAGTTGGTCTCCCTGTGGAGTTCCTATCTCCTTCAGTGTCCTCAATCTTCCCCTAACTCTTTCATAAGAGTGCCCAAGCTCCATCCAATTTTGGCTGTGGGTCTCTGCCCCCATCAGGGTCAGCTGCTGGGTAGAGCCTTTCAGAGGACAGCCTTACTAGGCTCTTGTCTGTAAGCATAACAGCATATCATTAATACTGTCAGGGAGTATTTTTAGTTTACTAAACTGTAAGACCCCCAGAGAGGGGAGACCGTCACTCAAGTCTTGGGAAGGCACGACTCACCCACAACCAAAGAGAGACCAGACTTGTTGCAACAGCACGAAGATGTTTACTCAATTCAGCGCTGGGTCGAGACCTGTGTCCCATGCAAGGGCAGAGGAGTGTCGACCCAGAGGCTTGGGAGGAAGGTGTATTTAAAGGAGAAAACCGCAAACCAGGGAGGTGAAGAGGGAAATCAAAAGGAGTAACAGTAGTAAATCTAAACCCATATCATAAAAATAGTGAAAAGTTTTCAACCTGTTATTCAGTTAGCCATAAACCAAGGTGAGGAGTGGGAAACAGCTTACACACGTCATAAACCAGGGTGGGGAGTAGAAACATCCTGCACACATTTTTCTCAGGAATGTGACCTTAACCTAGCCCACTGTGGTCAGTCATTTCCCGGAGTACCTTGACCAACCTGTATGTGTAGTTCTGCTATTCTTTGTAGTAAGTCAGTTCCTGGAACAGCCTAGCTGACTTGCCTTCTGGCTAGCTCCCTTTTTTTCTTTCTTTAGCTCAGGCCTGTGAATTTACTAGCTTTAATTCAGATGGGGGTCCTGATCTTTTCCTGTAATTTTTGCCTCCTTACACAAACCTTGGGAAGAGAGTGGAGGGGAGGAGTGGATGGGGAAGAGGGGCTGTCTTACCAAGTCCACCTCATGCAGGACTGTGTGGCTAGTAGGTGAGAGCAGGGTTCCAAGGCCAGGAGGGACCATAGGCATTAGGGATGAAGGGAGCATCTTGCCTGGTCCCTGACAAGCAGGTATAGCCAAGATATGTTTTAATCTGATATGAAAAGGCCACTCATAAATTTTTAGAAAATAACGAGAAGCAATTTGTGTGGATCACAGTATGTAAAAAGCTTTTTTTTTTTTTTTTTTTTTTTTTTTTTTTTTTTTTTTGAGATAGGATTTTGCTGTGTTACTTAGGCTGGCCCCAGCTTCCTAGACTCAAATACTCTTCTGACAGCTTTCCAAATACCTGGAACTACGGTGTACAACTATATGCCTAGCTTGTCCTTCTCTCTCCCCTCATTTTAAAAAATATTATTTCATTATGTTCATTTATTTCTTTGTCTGTGAGTGCATGCATGTTGAGAGTTGTCAGTGGGAGACATGCAAGCACATACACACCAGGGCACATGTGGAGGTTAGAGGACAACGTGCTGGAGTCAGTTTTCTTCTTCCTCCATGTTTCCATCCCAGGGACCGAGCTAGCAGCCTCTCTCCTCTGAGCCATCTCAATGGTCCCACTTTTCCATTCTTGATCCAAGATCCTCCCCAGCAATTCTAAAGACAACATGGCTGTAGCACCCAGAAAGCGCTTGTTTGGAAAGATCAAAAAAATCACCTGTCAAGTAATTTCTCTTGCCTTTCTTAGTGCAGCGAAAACTCAGAGAACAAGAAGAACTTGCTCTGCATGAACAGCGCATGAAGGAGAGCCTGAAGGTGCTACACCAGGAAGACATGGAGGACTTTGCCAGGTACCATGTCATTCTCTCTATTATCCTCTGTTACGGAGAAACATATATCTGTAATAGTGAGGAAGATGCATCATTAACCCATACATCACTGCTGCTATTTTATGTCAATGCCACACTGGTCCTTCTAGAACATCAGAGCAAACCATAAGATTTCATACAAAAATAGGCACAAACTGTACTGGTAAAATTCCACTGTCATTGTGGGTCTGAATGTCTACATTGGTTTTTAAGCTAGATGAGCATCTTAAATAACAACATAAAATGTGCAAGAATTAAAAAAAGAATTAAGTAGGGGGCTGGAGAGATGGCTCAGCCTTTAAGAGCACTGACTGTCTTCCAGAAGTCCTGCCTGAGTTCAATTCTCAGCAACCACATGGTAGCTCACAACCATCTGTAATGGAATCTGATGCCCTCTACTGGTGTGTCTGGAGTACAACTCCAGTGTACTCATATACATAAAATAAATAAATAATTCTTTTTTAAAGAAGACTTAGCAAAAAAAATGTTCAAAACAATCTAAGTAATCGAGTAAGCTTTCTATTACTGTAACAAATACCTGAAGCACAGGATTTACAGAGAGTCAAGGGAAGGGGAGTCTGCACTCACCGTGGCCTGCAGAGTAATGATCCACGGGACATAAGAAGACAGAATCAAACTTTGAGACTCTGATTATTTTAGGCACACTTAAGCAAAGTACAGTTTGGTGAAATTTTCCTGGTGATACTTTGCTCCATGTATACAACAAAGCTTAAGACATGACTATATGGAAACTCTTTGTAAAGCACATGTGACATATTCCATAGACATGGGTTCTATAGATCGACTGGGTAAAAGCCCTTAATAAGGGTCTGGGGGAGGATCCAGCAGTCTGAGCCACACAGATAGCACAAAGGCCAGGAGCCTATTAACTGTGTCTACTCCCACTTTTCTGGGCAGAAAAGAGGTCATATGTCTCTCCCTTTGAAGAGACAACCCTGTGTGTTTAACATTCCTGGTTCTCCTAGTTCTTACCTGTGAGCACTCCATGCTTCCTACACAAGGAGAAATGCTTATTTTCTTCCATTTGGGGAGTTATGCCAGGGTTTGCAGACAGCTGTTCTTATTCTGTCTTTACAGTTTTATCTTCTATCATGAAGTCCTTTTTTGTGTTAAAGAGGTTCACAGCTTCAGAGTTTCAGTGCAGATAGCTAATCACCTGATGGCTGGAGTTCAGGAGACAAAAAGAAGGAGGGGCTAAGGTCCCAATATTGCCATCAGGGTCCAGTGATCACAGGACTTCCAAGAAGGTTCTACTTAAAAGTGTCTACTACCAGGCTGGGGTGCTGGGGAGGTGGCTCAGTGGATGAGAAGGTGCTTGCCTCAGAAGCCTGAGGACTGGATCAAACCACAAGAACCCACATAAAAGCTGGCAGCACTTGGACCCAAAAGATAGATGATCTCTAGGGCCAGCTAGCTAGTCACACTCGCCAGATTGGTGAGTTCTGAGTTCAGCAAGTGACCCCGCCTCAATAAATAACATGGAGAGATGGAGAGTAATTGAGGAAGATACCTGTCATATATTAGAGACACCCAGCATACATCAGAGTAGCCTAATAGCTAGATTAGCAGGAATGGCTTACACAGACAGGACTCCTGTGTGTCCTCAAGACTAAAACGCTAACATGTTTTGCTGCTTTTGGAAACACTGCTGTCCTCCTGTGATTATCTTCTCTGGGATCAATGTATTTCCTTATGATTACCCAGTCAGGCTCAGGTGAAAAAGCAGGCCACTGTCTTCTTGCAGCATTTCCTTACTACCTTCCTGGGTGCAGCAGAGGAAGAGGCCCTACCTCTTCTAATTCAGTCATCCTCTCTGCCCTGGGGAGGGGGCCTTTCTGTTCATTCCATGATACTTGGTGCATAGAAATATGTTCTTTTTTTTTTCCTAGAAGAGTGTGATTTTGTACCTTACCCTTTTGGTAGTCTGATAAAAAGTAATACATAGCCTACCCTGTTGACCTCCTCTGACTGTTTCTGCTCTAGAGGCCTGTCTTATTAAAACACACACACAGACACCCACACACACAACCCATGTGTATGTGTGTGTGAGTTTGTCATGGCATGCATGGGAAATCAGAGGACAAACTGTTGGAGTTAGTTTTCATCTTCTACCATATGGGTCCTAGGGGACAAACTCAAGTCATCAGGTTAGGTGGCAAGGTGACTCCTTTACCTGCTAAGTCATCTTGAGAGCCCCTCCTTTCTGCTTTGAAAAGCTTATTGCTGGAGATTTGAAAGGGTCTTCCTAAGTACCCCGTCTTCCCAACCAATGTACACTCAACTGGAAGATGAGAAAAGACTGTCAACTGGAAGCCCTGTAGATCCCTATTGCTACCTGGAAACATTCAAAATTCGTGGTTTAAAACAACTTACTGCCGGGCGGTGGTGGCTCACGCCTTTAATCCCAGCACTTGGGAGGCAGAGGCAGGCGGATCTCTGAGTTCGAGAGTTCGCGGCTAGCCTGGTCTACGGAGTAAGTTCCAGGACAGCCAGGGCTACACACAGAGAAACCCTGTCTCGAAAAAAAAAAAAAAAAAAAAAAACAAAAAACAAAAAACAAAAAACAAAAAAAAAAACAACTTACTTCCTCTTATTCCGCAAGTTGGCAAGGCTCGACTCAGTGGTCCTTGCTTAGGATAGCTCATGTGCTTGAAGTCAGATATGAACTGAGGCTGAATCCACCTGGTGGCTTGGCTGGGTAGACACTGAAGATACCTGCTCATATCACTAGCAATCCGTTGTACTGTGATAGGGGATCTCATGTGTTAACAGCTGGAGCACCTCCCTGACTTGAGGCTTGGAATACTGATAACTCGTGCTGAGAGAGAACATCCTCATAGCAAGTATTCTAAGAAACAGAAATTACCAGGCCTAGGCTAAGTATAGGATCAGCAGAGGACTACCTTTGCTGCATTCCATGGGTCACACTGACATGTATAGGATTTGTGCAGATTCACAGTAATGGAGAAAGAAGTTCTGCCGATGGTTAGAATGACAGTGGCTCTCGAGGCTGAAAGGCATTTCAGAAGGGAGGTAGGATTATGGCCTGTCTTAGAAGAAGGTCTTGGAAGACAGAATCTCCCACAGAGGGATATCTAAACAACTCTTTCTTATAAAAGTTGGTAGCTATTTTAACTGCCACTAATGACTGTCAAACAGTTCAATCAAATTATGACATTACCCATAGATAATATTGACCATACAGGATTACATATTTTACATATATTACATATATGCAATGTATGTATGTATACATATGTATATTTTACTGTTGGGAGTGACCTTGCTTAAACATTAACTGCCTTGTCAGCCATAAGTGCTTAATGGCACAAAGTCTTGGCCTCTGTGGAAAAGTACTAGCCCAGCTGAAAACAAATAGCTATAGATCTGTGGACAGGTGCCTAGCAACCCATTCTGTTCTATTTTTTCTGCTGAATATTTTACCCCAACATCCTGTTCTTGAGAACACCTGCACTGCTCAGAGATAAAGCAACCCTACTCTACCCCCGTTACCCCACATCCTGCTTCTATGAGTATGTAACCTGTGTGTGAACAATAAAAATTTGTCAGCTTGATCAGACCTCTTGACTTGCTGTCCGTTCTTCACATCTCTTGTCCTTCCATTCTCTTCTAGGTAGTCCCCCAGTCCCTGTTCACCATCCTGTGTGCTGGAACATTTTACATATATGTAATATATGTAATTACAAATATTATGTATTTACTTATATTACATATTTTACGTACATTTATACATATATTTTTACACATATGTGTATTCATATATATTACTTTTACATATATTTACATATATGTGTGTATTTACATATATTACATATATGCAATAGGTAATGGATATATTACATATCTTTACCTGCTTGTCACTAATAGAAGAGATAAGTAGAGGTACCTTGCTTTTTCTCAGAGAATCTCTTGAAGCATTATCTAAAAAGCTTTGGTATGTTTTCATTTTGATTTGAGATAAATGTTCCTATGGCCCAGGCTAGCTTCAAACTCAATATGTAGCCCAAGCTGATCTCTAACTCATGGTTCTGCCTTAGCCTTAGTACTGGGATTATAGTGTGTACCACCACACCTGATAAGTTCGAGCTTTTTGTTTATTTGTTTGGTATTTTTCTTTGTTTTCCTTTTTTTTATTACTTTGTTTTGTTTTGAGATAGTTTTGCTATATTGTCCTGGATAGCCTGGAGTTTCAACATAGATAGGTTAACCTCAAACTTGTGGGGATTCTTCTACCTCTGACTTCCAAATATTAGCAATATGGGTGTGTATCCTAATACCTGGCAAAATTCAAAATCTGTAACCTTTATGTGCATATGTGATGTTTATGTGTGCTCATGTTCGAGTGGGGTGTGCACAGGCCATTAAGCACTGGTGGAAGTCAAATCTGCCTTTTAATCTTGTTTGAGACATTATCTTGTTTGTTGCACACATCAGGGAGCCGACTGATGAGCTTCTGGTAGTGTGTGTGTGTTTGTATGTGTGTGTCTCTGTGTGTGTGCATACTGTACAGGCATGTGAGCATGTGCTCATGCCCATGTGACAGTATTCATGTATGCAGAGGCCTACAAATGTTAACTTTTGTTCTTCTGAAGTAACTGTCATCTTCAAGGCTTCTTGTCTCTGTCTGCTAACCTAGGCCTAGTCCTAGAAGCTTCTGGCTCCATATAATCTAATATAGGCATAGAATATTTCCAATTTCTGCGATTTACTGCTGAATAAGCTCACCCTTTCTTGTTCTTTATGAATTCTTTTGGTTGGTTTAACTCAGATGTTCTGGCTTAAACTGCTCTCCAAGCTGAATGATTTAATCTAGCTTCTGACAGTTTCTCACTGAATTTGCTCTGCTTGGCCATAACTAACTCTGGCAATCTGTTCTAATCTTCTGTCTCCTTCTCATTTTCTGGGTCATTCTGTCTTTACCTGTGTCTAGTGTGTTCTCT